TGATATAAGATAGTGACATCATAATCTTTCAACAACTCCAACCACCTCCTCTGCCTCAAATTCAACTCCTTTTACTTGAACAAATACTGAAGGCCCTTGTGATCTGTGAACACCTCACATGCCACGCCATACAGATAATGCCTCCAAATCTTCAATGCGTGAACAATGGCTGCCAACTCCAAATCATGAACCGGATAGTTCTTCTCATGAATCTTCAACTGCCGCGAAGCATAGGCAATGACCTTGCCATCCTGTATCAACACTGCACCAAGTCCAATACGAGATGCATCACAATAAACTGTATAAGGCCCGGAACCCGTGGGCAAAACCAACACCGGTGCCGTAGTTAGAGCTGTCTTGAGCTTCTGAAAGCTTGCCTCACACTCGTCCGACCACCTGAACTGGGCAACCTTCTGGGTCAACCTGGTCATCGGGGCTGCGATAGATGAAAACCCCTCCACGAACCGACGATAGTAGCCTGCCAATCCCAAGAAATTCCGAATCTCTGTAGTTGATGCTGGTCTAGGCCAGTTCTTGACTGCCTCAATCTTCTTCGGATCAACCTGAATACCCTCTCCTGACACAACATGACCCAGGAATGCAACTGAACTCAACCAGAACTCACACTTCGAAAACTTGGCGTACAAATACCTTGGCACCCTGAAGTTGATCAAACAAATCCTCAATCCTCGGCAATGGATACTTATTCTTGATTGTAACCTTGTTCAACTGCCGATAAATCAATACACATTCGCATCGACCCATCCTTCTTTTTAACAAACAACACCGGCGCACCCCAAGGCGAAACACTGGGTATAATGAAACCCTTCTCAAGCAAGTCTTGCAACTGCTCCTTCAACTCTTTCAACTCAGGCGGGGCCATATGATACGGCGGGATAGAAATGGGCTGAGTGCCCGGAGCCAAATCAATGCAAAAGTCAATATCCCTGTCGGGTGGCATACCTGGCAGGTCTGAAGGGAAAACCTCAGGAAACTCACGAACAATAGGCACAGAGTTTATGGAAGGAACCTCAGCACTAGAATCACGAACATATGCCAAATAGGTCAAACACCCCTTCTCGACCATACGTCGAGCCTTCACATAAGAGATAACACTACGGGTAGAATGACCAGGAGTCCCTCTTCACTCTAAACGAGGCAAACCAGGTAAAACTAAGGTCACAGTCTTGGCGTGACAGTCCAAGATAGCGTGGTAAGGTGATAACCCGTCTATCAGCAATATAACACTGAAATCATCCATGTCCAGAAGAAGCAAATCTACACGAGTCTCAAGACCTCCAATAACCACTATACATGAACAATGGACGCGATCCACCATAATAGAATCACCCACCGACGTAGACACATAAACAGGGGCACTCAAAGAATCACTAGGCATGACCAGATGCGGCGCAAAATAAAACCGAAGCTTCTCTACCACAAACCAGAACAATACCTGCACCTCCACCTCTAATACTTTTACCTCCACCTCTAGCATCTCTACCTCCACCTCTAATACCTCTACCTCCCCCTCAAATACCTCTCTCTGAGTGATGGGGAGAAACTTCTCCAGAAATAGCTGCGTGAACTACTCCCAAGTCGAAGCTGGCGATCTAGCTGGTCTAGCCAAGCAATAATCTCTCCACCAAGTCTTGGCGGATCCAAACAAGCAAAAAGTAGCAAAATCGACCCCATTGGTCTCAACTATCCCCATGTTTCTGAGAACCTCATGACAGCTGTGTTGATAATCCTGGGGATCCTCAATAGATGCATCGCTGAATGTAATAGTGAAGAGCTTGGGGAAACTTATCGAATCTCCATAAAGCCTCCGAAGATGTAGTTGATCTATCACCGGTCTGTGTTGTTGCCCGGCTGAAGAAGCGGTACATGACCTCTCCATTCGCGAAAGGACAAGAGTAGAGGTTTCAATTTAGCATTGAGAGAACAAAATCGCACGGCAGAAAAGAATGAATGTGGAGTTTTCCTAACTCTATAGCCTCTAGGGATAAAAACAGACGTCTCCGTACCGATCCCTCAGACTCTACTAAGCTTGTCTGTGAACTGTGAGACCCATGTAACCTAGAGCTCTGATACCAACTTGTCACGACCCAGATTTCCCACCCTCGGGAGTCGTGATGGCGCCTATTAATGTGAGCTAGGCAAGCTAATTATTTGAACAATTTACCTTTTTACCCATTTTATATCCTTTAACAGTTAAGAAGAAATAACATTTAAACAGCGGAATTAACGTAAACGGAAGAAAAACAATAAGCTATCTGAACATGAATATCTAATACAATTCTTTGAGTCTCGACTACCCAGAACTGGTGTCACAGTTTCACAGACGTTCTAAGAATACTACAAATAAAGGTCTGAAAGAAATAAATACAACACTGTCTCTGGAAATGCATGAAAGAAACAAGAATAGTAGATAGAAGAAGACGCCAAGGCCTGCGGTCACCTGCAGGACTACCTCGGGTCGCCTGATGAGCTAGAATCAGCAATCCCACCGTGGTCTGAAGGTGTAAAGTGTAGTATCAGCACAATCGACCCCATGTGCTGGTAAGTGCCTAGCCTAACCTCGGCGAAGTAGTGACGAGGCTAGGACCAGACTATCAAATAAACATGTGCAGTTATATAAAATACAGCGGAAAGTAAAGCAGGTATAAGCAAGTAAGGATGGGAGGGGAAAACATGCTTCGGGGAATAACAGGTAAAAATAGAATATCAAGAGAACTACAAAGGAATCAAAATCCAACCACTAGCAAGAATAAGGAAAACAAAGGCAGATTTCACTTTCTTTTCACATCTTGTTGCAGGCGTGCAACCCGATCCCACTTCCTATATCTCGTGGCAGGCGTGCCACCCGCTCCCATTTCATGTATCTCGTGGCAGGCGTGCCACCCGCTCCCATTTCATGTATCTCGTGGTAGGCGTACCACCCGCTCCCATTTCATTTATCTCGTGGTAGNTGTGGTTCCCTTGCATTGTGTTCTTATTTGATATTACGGATGCTTAGATTGATGATTCCTCGGGTTAGGTGTTGTAACAAGTTTAGTTATAGCTGGGTAGTTAGATGTTGTAACAAGTTTGGTTATAGTTGTTTCTCCCTTGCCGGGATATTGTTGAGATATCATTATTTCCTTACCGTGATGTTTGTTGTATCAACAAACATCACGGTAAGGAAATAATGATATCTCAACAATATCCCGGCAAGGGAGAAACAACTATAACCAAACTTGTTACAACATCTAACTACCCAGCTATAACTAAACTTGTTACAACACCTAACCCGAGGAATCATCAATCTAAGCATCCGTAATATCAAATAAGAACACAATGCAAGGGAACCACAACTCAACAATAGCCCGGCAAGGGGCAACATAATGATCTCTTCTCTTTCTCACTTTTACTTCACATTTCACTTCACAACTCGAGCCAATGATCTAGAGTTTCAATTATCACTTATACTTTCACAATTCGTTATACAACTAGAGCCAACACTCCTCAATGTTCATAGGTCACGATTCTTTCCACAACTTTTCACAACAAATATAAATCTTCACCAAGGCATGAATAATATAACGAAGTCATGAAAATCACAAAATAAGACTCACGGTCATGCTTGACACCAACATATAGATACTCGTCACCATGCCTATACGTCGTACTCAACAAGAAGCAAATAGCAAATAGGACACAACTCCTAATCCCTCAAGCTAAGGTTAGACCAAACACTTACCTCGATGCCACAAACACAATTCACGATTCAATTATAGCTTTACCCCTTGATTCCACCACCAATTCGCTCGTATCTAGTCACAAGTTACTTAATTACATTAATAAACGCTAAATGAATCAACCCCAATGCATGAAAAATGAGTTTTCCAAAGTTTTACCCAAAAAGTCAAAAATTGCCCCCGGGCCCACATGGTCAAAACTCGAGGTTCGAACCAAAACCCGATTACCCATTCCCCCACGAACTCAAATATATAATTTGTTTTGAAATCGGACCTCAAATCAAGGTCCAAATCCCCAAATTTTGAAAAACCTAGGTTCTACCCAAAACACCCAATTTCTCCCATGAAAATCTTTGATTTTAAGTTGAAATCATGTTAAAGATGTTAATGATTGAAGAAAACTAGTTAAAAATGACATACAATTGATTTGGAAGGAAAGCTGCTCTTGAAAAATCGCCCTAGTGTGTTTATGTTTTGAAAAGATGTGAAAAATGGGTTTAAAATCGGCTAAGTATAAAAATTGCAGGTCTCAGTTATGGGAATTGCAAATAGGGGTTCGCAGTTGCGAACCAACCTCTGCTGGCCTGGGAATTGCGAAAAAAGTTTGGGAAATGCGAACCTGGGAATTGCGAAAAAGTTTGGGGTTTGCGAAGGGAGTTTGGGAAATGCGAACCTGGGAATTGCGAAGGGGGTTTTGGGAAATGCGAAGCCTGCAGGCCTCCAATTCCTTAAGTCCAAAATTTCACCCCGTGACCTATCCAAAACTCACCCGAGCCCTCGGGGCTCCAAACCAAATATACACACAACCTCAAAAATATCCTACGGACTTATTCGTGTACTCAAATCACCAAAATAACATCATGAACATCGAATTAAACCTCAAGATCAATGAAATTTCTCAAAACTTCTTTAAACATCAAATTTGCATTTAAGGTCCGAATCACGTCAAATGGATTCCGTTTCTTTCCAAACTTCACAGAATTATCTTAAATCATATATAAGACCTGTACCGGGCGCCGGAACCAAAATACGGGCCCGATACTAACATGTTCTAATTAGAATTCATTTCCAAACCTTATAAACAATTTCATAAAATAATTTCTTTCAAAAATTCATTTCTCGGGCTTGGGACCTCGGAATTCGATTCCGGGCATACGCCCAAGTCCCATATTTTCCTACAGACCCTCCGGGACCGTCAAATTACGGGACCGGGTCCGTTTATCCAAAACATTGACCGAAGTCAAATTAATTCATTCTATAGTCAAAACTTATCATTTTTCACAGATTTTCACATTTAGGCTTTCCGGCTACGCGTCCGGACTACACACGTAAATCAAGGTGATGCTAAGAGAGGTTTTTAAGGCCTCAGAACGCAGAATTCATTTTAAAAACAAGTGATGACCTTTTGGATCATCACACACTTGGCATCAAAACTTGCTCTTTTCCATACACAAACACCTTATATCTCGAGGAAGCTTTTCACCTTCATGGAGGTTATATGATAACCAGGTGGATCCATTGACAACATATGGGAGATGAAGTGCATTGTTGGCCTTGATTTTGGAGTTTCCAGCAACAAGAGCTCGCTAGCTTGATCATAAAAGCCAAAACCTCTTTTACTTCATCTTCAGGATTTGGAAGGCGTTCATCAAGCAAATCGCTAAGCTGCACATGATCTCTAGTCGATGAATTTGCTAGCACAGAAATGTATTCCCCAGGATGCTTTCCCTCGATTATCTCCAATGCTAATACTCCAAAGCTATAGACATCACACATTTCTGTAACCTTCATTGTGTAGGCAAGCTCTGAAAAAATACAGTTCCCAAAGAAGTATTAACTACTTAAACGTGTAAATGAGATAAAAACAATATAGATTTCCCCTTGAATTCATGAATTGAGAAAAGATAAAGAGGAAAATCTTACATGGTGCAACGTAGCCATATGTGTCTGCAAGTGCAGTACAATTGAATGATTCTGGATTGAGAAGCTTAGCTATTCCGAAGTCTGAAACACGAGCTTCATACTCAGAATCAAGCAAAATATTATTGCTTGATATGTCTCGATGAACAGTGGCGAGCAATCCTGGTGCATGTAAGATAAAGCAAAAGCAGCACCTTTGATGATATTCACCCTCTTAAGCCAATCCAATTTCTTGGACTCTACTTCATTGCTCAAGATACTAAACAAACTCCCTCTCTCCACGTACTCGTAAACTAAGAACGAGTGTTTTGCATTAGAACAAAAGCCATAGAGTTTCACAATGTTTCGATGTTTAATCCTTGTCAATGCCCTTACCTCATTCATGAAGCTTTTGAGATGTGTATTCTCAAATGAAGAATGAAGTCTCTTTACGGCTACATTCTCAAATGATGGAAGCTTTGCCTTGTAAACGCTTCCAGACCCTCCTTTCCCGATGCAAAACACTGCATCAAACTCTTTTGTGGATTTTAAGATATCCCAGTACAATGCACTTCCATGTAACGTGGATATCGAGAGCAAACCATTATCTTCATCAACATCAACAACATCACTGGAATCCCGTCTTTCAATGTCTCCAACTCTTCTTCTTTCATCACACATTAGCAGAACATCAATTAAAGTACAGAGAAGTACTAGTGCTCCCATAACAGGAAGTACAGTGACGAGGATGAGTTTACGTCTTGAGTGCTTCTCCACCACAGAAAATGGACTTTCACAAGGCTGGAATCCTGTTACATTACCACAAAGACCTCTATTACCTTCTAATGATGCATTCATAAAAGCTTCATTATTCGGTATTGGACCTTCCAACTCATTGTATGACAATATGACATAACCTGTCAAACTTTTAAATTCTTTAGGAATGCGGCCAGAGAGGTCATTGTGGGAAAGATTGATGATTGCCAAGTCCACCAAATGGGCTAATTGAGGGGGTATTTCTCCATCAAGAAGATTATGGCTCAAATCAAGTATATTAAGGTGAGTGATCCTTCCTATCTCCATCGGAATTTTCTGGCCAAATCTGTTGTTGCTCAGGTTCAAGCGAATCAACTTCATGTAATCTCCTATAAACATCGGGATTGACCCATTAAATACATTATCTGACAGATCAAGGGTTTCTAAATTTGTCAGTGACCCAAGTTCACCAGGTTGACTGCCAGAAATGTGGTTGTTTTGCACAAAGAGATTAATTAGAGAGGTCAATTTTCCAAATTCCTTGGGAATATGCCCAACCAAATGATTAGATGACAGATCAAGTCTTGAAAGCCCTTTGACGTTTCCAATCTCTGGTGGTATGCTACCACTAATGTTATTTCTGGCTATCTGCAAATTTGTCAAATTGTTGTATTTTCCCCAGTTGCTGCTGAGTTCACCATAAAAATCGTTGTCGCTCAAATCAATGAACTGAAGCTCTGGATAGATACCAAAAGCTTCCAATAAATTCCCTGTGAAACTGTTGTTATCAAAGCGAACCCTTTTGAAACTCGAGCACTTGCTCAAGCTTCTTGGAATTGGCCCTGACAGCTTGTTGCTATTCACCGTGAAGTTCTCAAGTTTCCCACCTTGGCAAAGATTCTCAGGCAAATGGCCTGAAAATTGGTTTTCATCCATTTCCAGCACAACTAAGTTATCCAAATAGGCAAGTTCTGGTGGAATGGAACCCGAAAGTTTATTGTCCCGGAGATACAGAGTTTGCAAATTTCTCAGATTGCCCAAGGAAGCTGGAATTGACCGAGTAAGTTGATTACCGGATAATTGCAGATCAGTGAGGTTTTTCAAATTCCCCAACTTACTAGTAATGGAACCAGAAAGTTGGTTATCATAAAGGTGCAAGAGTTGGAGCTCAGTTAAGTCACCTATTATTTCGGGAATTGGACCAGAAAGATTGTTTGTGTGGAAGCTTAAACTCTGAAGCGACTTCATCTGTCCAATTTCAACAAGAATGGGACCAGACAATTCATTAGAGAAAGCATTAAACACTTGTGGTTTGATCAAGTTACCTATTTATGGAGGAATATGACCTGTTAACTGGTTTGTATCGAGATAAGCTTCAACAAGATTAACGAGTTTCCCTATTGCTGCTGGAATGGAGCCAGAAAGCTGATTCCCATAAAGAGACAAAGATGACAGGTTGTTCAAATTCCCCAATGAAGCAGGAATTGAACCATTAAGAGAGTTAGTATACAAAACAAGCTCAGTAAGAGACCTTAGGTGACCTATTTCTTCCGGAATGGAACCATTTAACTGGTTGTCAAAGATATGAAAGGTCTCAAGCTTTCTTAATGAGCCGATTTGTGGAGGGATTGTGCCTGAAATCTGATTGATGGACAAGTCAAGATAAACTAGATTAGTGAGTTTACCTATTTCAGGAGGGATTGTGCCAGAGAGCTGGTTCATGCTAAGATCAACATATTCAAGAAAGGGGAGAGATGAAAATGGAAAATCATAGAGTGTGCCAACAACACTAGCATTTGTAATATTCAACCTGTTGACCCTACCATTTAAGCATGTAACTCCATACCAGCCCCTGCATGCATCAGAACCCGTCGCTCCGACGCTGGAAGAATTCTTGGAACCAACAGGACTTAGTTTCCATGAAGCCAATAAGGTATTATTCTGGTTATGGAAAGTTGCTTTCCATTTTAGGAGTCCTCAGTGGAAGCAAAAGTAACTGTGAAGAAATATAAGAGAGTAAAAAACTTTTGAAAGAAAATATTCTGGGAATCTTCATTATGGTTAATCTCAGTTGATTGTTTTGGTTATTGATGAACTTGAAGAAGTAGAGTTTTATAGTGTAGTGAATCATTACAAGTCTTGCGAGTCAATGGGTATTTATTTTCTCAGCTTGTGAAATACGGGTAGAACGACTTCAAGTCAATGAGTCAATGTCTCACTATCCATAGAAGTAAAGAAGAAGGTTTAAAAGGAAAGCATTCCAATTGGCCAAGCTTTAAATTTGTGGAAATATAGAGAGATTCTTCTCCAAAAACATTCAAAAGTCGTTTGCATTGACGAACTAATGGACATAACTGTCGAGAGTTTTATCATCTTCGTGGGCCATATAGTGTGGAAAAATTGCAAGAGAGAGAGAGAGAGAGAGAGAGAGAGAGAGATTCACCGCAGGTCATACTTGGTCGGAGAATCCACCGGAAAGTTCTCCGGCTATGACCTCTGCTGGCCATTCTTCTGAAAAACAAGCATTTTTATAGAAAAGCTAAATTGGAGCAGCCTAGAAGGTAGAGCAAATTAAGAATTTGATGATGGAACAAAATATAGAAAATTTTAACAGTTGAATTAATTTCGAAGAGAATCTAACCGAAAAGGAAAATGAATTGAGAGAGTGTCATATACAATTGTGAAAGCTCCTGAACTGGACTGTATATTGAATATGCATTACTCCGTTTACGGGACAGCCTGCTGAGACTGGAGCATTGTCCAGGGAAGAGGACGAGGAGGAGGAGGCATCCACTATTTAACTTTGAATTTTGATTTTACTGTTAATGATTTTAGGTTTTGGTCCATAGCCACAGTCAGAGAGATAAGAAACAGTATATTTTGCTCCACTTCCATAAATTTCAAGAAATGAATTCATAAACATTTAACAATTGTATTCCATTTCCACAAACAGACTGGATGGATGGCTGCTAGTTCTATACAACCGGAATAGCAACAGTTTATCCACATTCCTCTTATGTGATTTTCTGCGTTGCTTGGCACGATCAATAGCTTAATTCACTGCAGAATTTTTAGTTAAATATGTGTACAGTATACCCTTTCACCGCTTTACTTTCAATATGTACTAAATTTCTAATGACATGTGATGTACTATATATGAGGAAGAACATATGGGCCTTCGTTGTTACTCCATTACTATTTGGGGAGCGCAGTACTTTCATCCACCTTTTTGATTCACTTATGACCTTTGAGGTCAATGCTGAATTAAAAATAATTATTATTCTTTTTGTAAAATTTAAAAAAAAATATTTTATAAAACATTTTATTTTTGAAAACTAATGCACCGGTAGTCCGCTAATTTGAGTAAAATCTTCTTCTTTTTTTTTCCATTTTTACCAAAAAAATATATATTTTTTCAGTTTTTTTCAGTTTTTTAAAGCATTTTTATTGTAAAAACTCAAAAAAAAAAATTGTAAAAACTGAAAAAATATTTTCAACAAAATATTTTTTTTTCATTTTTTCTGTTTTTTTAACAAAAAAGAAAATATTTTTTCTTTAAAAAAAATGAAAAACGAAAATAAAACGAAATGCTTTAAAAAAAACTGAAAAACTGAAAATAAAAATATTTTTCAAAAACGAAAATACTTTGTTGAAAATATTTTTTTCAGTTTTTAAAAACGAAATATTTTACTAAAAGCATTTTTTTCTGATTTTACAATTTTTTTTCAGTTTTTACAAAAAAAAAATGCTTTAAAAAAACTGGAAGAAAAATATTTTTTTGTAAAAACTGAGAAAAAAATAAGAAGACTTTACTAAATTAGTGGGACTATTGGTGCATTGGTTTAAAAAACGAAAATATTTTGCAAAAAATTTTTCTTTAAGTTTTACAAAAAGAATAATAATTATTTTTAGTTTAGCATTGACCTAACGGTCAAAGGGCATAAGTGAACCAAAAAAGTGGATGGAGGGGTATTTTTAGCCCAATAGGTGAATTAAGGGTATTTGTAAACCTTTTGCAATAGTTTAGGGGCATTTTGAACCCTTTTCCGTTTCATCTTTTACCGTGAGTTTCTTAAAAATTCTATAAGTATTTTAAAATATAAATTATTATGACTTATAAGTAGTACTTTGGATATAATTTTTAACTATGTAGATTTTATTTTTAAAAACTTGAAAAATTTATTTGGTTAATTTCATGGTCAAAATTTAAGACTTTGACCTTGAATCAAACCACATAAAATGAAATAGAGGGACAATATTCACATAGGAAAAAAAGTAGATCTATCAATTAACAGGAAGTTTATCATGGTTAAATCACAATAATTGTGCAATTACAAAAAGTTACGGTTTCTCATCTGTTAAAATATTTCTATTGAAAAATCATACTTCAAATTAGCTTTTAAAGATTTTCATTATCTATTCTCAAACCTTGTTCACTTTTGCAGTTTGTTGCAACACATTGTTATGGATGTTGTGTGCTGAATAAATGCATTAAGTATCCAACTGGGAACTGGGAAGCAACGCAAGAAGTTGCTTACTACTAAGATTTGTTCTAATGGGCTTAAGCTTGCTCAAGATCCTTTTGGGTAAAATCCAGAAACTTCTGCTTTAATTTGGTCCTTGAATTTACTTTCTTGATTTGCTATAACAGAAACATCCCAAGATAATTTAGGGGCAAAAGGTGTTAGCTGCCATGGAAATGAGATCCAAGCTAAGAAAGAAGAAGAATCTGGAAGAAGAGAGGGAATATGAGAAAGGCTCGATACATTTCTGAATGAAGAAGATAGACAAATGTACAAGTGTCCACTATGTATAACAAACTAAATAACCTCCTTAACTAACTACTAACTAACTCACTAACTATGGTTTAGCATTACATTATAATTAAACTACGGTTAACTATGCTGATTAACACTCCACCTCAAGCCGATGGTTGATACAAATTCTTCAACCCCAGCTTGTTCAGCAAATGCACATGTTGAACTCGTCCCAAACCTTTAGTGAGTATATCTGCTAGCTGATCTTCAGTGTTAACATACTCAGTCTTCAGCAGACCTTGACTTAGCTTCTCCCTCACAAAGTGACAATCTATATCGATGTGTTTTGTCCTTTCATGGAAGATTGGATTTGCTGCAATTTAAATTGCAGCTCCGCTGTCACACACCAGAGTTATAGGAAGTTCAATTTTAATACCAAGTTCACTGAACAGTCCTACTAGCCAGGTAACCTTTGTTGCACATAAAGTCATGCTACTAAACTCAGCTTCAGTAGAAGCTTCTTGACACAATGCTCTGCTTCTTAGACTTCCAAGATATCAATGCACTTCCAAACTTTACCAAGTACCCTGTAACTGATCTTCTAATTTGTATACATGCCCCCCCCCCCCCCCCAGTCTGAATCACAAAAGGCAATTAGTTGATTTGAAGGTTCTGCAGGCAAGAACAGCCCCAAGCTAGGAGCCTCTTTTATGTATCTTACAATTCTTAGTGGTGCTTCCATATGAGACCTTTTAGGACAATGCATATAATGACTAAGAACCTGAACCACAAATACAATATCAGGTCTTGTCATAGTGAGATACTGCAACCTTCCAATGAGTCTTTGGTAAGCACCAGGATTGTCAAGACTCTCATCTGTCCGGATGTTGTCACTCTTGAAGTAATTATCATACTCTACTGAAGTTGGCTTCTGATTCAGTTCTAGTGGTGTTCCAGCTGGCTTTGCACCACTCAAACCAGACTCATAAATTAACTCTAAGGCATATTTTCTTTGGCACATAAGAATTCCTCTTTTGGACCTTGCAAACTCAATCCCTTAGAAGAATTTGAGCTCTCATAGATCCTTCATTTTGAGCTTCTTCATAAGGTCTAATCTAGTACTACATAACAGTTGTTGATTGTTCCCAGTAATCAGAAGATCATCAACATAGATCAATATGACGACTATATCATCTCCAGCCTTCTTTGTGAACAAAGAATAATCATAGTGACTTTGTTGAAAGCCCATGTTGGGCAGGGCTTCTATCAACTTCATATTCCACTGTCTAGGTGCCTGCTTAAGTCCATAAAGCGACTTATGTAGTTTGCAGACCTTCCTCTTAGTCTCTCCATGTCTGCCAAACCCCTCAGGCAATTGCATATAGACTTCCTCAGTGAGATCTCCATTTAGAAAGTCATTGTGTACATCCATTTGAAAGATCAACCACTGTCTTGAAGCAGCTAAGGCAATAATAGATCTAACAGTCACAATTTTGGCCACATGAGAGAAAGTTTCTCCATAATACAATCCTTCCTTCTGGTTGTAGCCTTTAGCCACTAGCCTAGCTTTGAACCTTTCTACTTCACCAGAGCTTTGTACTTAATCATGTAAACCCACCTGCAACCAATGAGAGTCTTCCCAGGTGGTAAGTCAAAAATACTCCTAGTGTGGTTATCTTCAAGTGCTGCAATCTCCAACTTTATTGCTGTTATCCACTTGGGATCAGCTGCAGCTTCATTGAAGGAAGTTGGTTCTGAGAGAGCTGAATAACCTGCAAGGACATGCTTATATGATGTAGCAATAGAAGATATTCCACATATGAAGATATAGGATAAGTACACTTAGAGCCTTTGGAGGTAGTGACATAGTCTTGCAGCCACAGAGGTGGCTTGCTTAGTCTAGAAGACCTTCTGTGTTCAGTAGGAGGCTCATCATCTTGTTGAGAAAGCACAGGTGCATTTTGAGTAACATCAGGCAAGTGATCAACAACTGAAGGGATCATAGAGACAGCTTCTTCTGAGCTTGTTGTAGAATGAGGAACTCTCTAAGAGGAGTCTGCAGACAACTAATTTGAACTGTTGTCAATAGACACCTCTTTTGCTGGTGGTACAGAAGAGGAGGGAGTAATATTGCTCAAAGTAGAAGAGAGAAAGTCTAGGACAGGAAATACATGACTTCCAGTAGATGTGGCATGCTTAAAGGGAGAAATGTTCTCTTGAAACACAATGTTCCTATTGACAATAAATGTTTTTGAATGCAGAGTATACAACAGATAACCCTTCTGAGTGGAAAACTATCCTAGAAATACAGTTGGTACTGCTCTGGGTGAGAACTTATCCAGCACTTAAGGACAAGTTGCATAGCACAATCAGCCAAAGACTTTGAGATGAGATAATGAAGGAGGGTGAAAATATAACATCTCAAATAGTGATTTGTATCCAACAACTTTAGAGGGCAGTCGATTGAGTAGATATACTGCAGTAACAACACATTCTCCCCAAAATCTCAAAGGTACAATAGCTTGAAATCTGAGTGATTTAGCTATTTCCAAGATGGTTCTGTGTCTTCTTTCTGCCACCCCATTCTGTTGGGATGTATAGACACATGTACTTTGATGGAAAATACCAAGGTTAGACAGCAGGCTCTTAAATTCAGTACTAAAAAATTCACTTCCATTATTAGTTCTTAGAAACATTACAGTAGCAGAGAACACATTTTTTACTTGACTAAGAAAGTCTCTTCGAACTACAATAGCATTTGACTTAGACTATAACAGAAAAATCCAAGTATACCTTGTGTGGTCATAAACTTGAGTAACAAAATAGCTCTTACCATCATGTGTGAACACTCTATAAGGTCCCCATATATCACAGTGAATTAGTTCAAACACTGATTTTGTAGTTGTACTACTTAGTTGAAAAGACAACTTGGTTTGCTTTCCTACTGGACATACAATGTAGTGATGAGAATCAGCTGTTGTGAGTTTGCTTAGCTCTTCTACTCTCTTTATTATATCTGAAGGAGCATGTCCTAACCTTCTATGCCACAAAGTACTAGAAATAGAAGTACACATAGAATTTATTGTGCTAGTACACTTATTTGTTGCATGATATAGATCTTATTTTGGAATACCTCCTTGCAGAATGTATAGCCCATGTTCTTCTCTACCAATTCCCGTCACCTGACCACTGAAGATGTCCTGGAAAATGCAAAAATCAGGGAAGAATTCCACCATACACTTTAGCTCCTTAGTGAGTTTTGAGACTGACAGTAAGTTGAACTTAAAGTCATGAAAGTACAGAACATTAGAGATCTCATGATTACTTAATAAAGAAATGCAACCTGTGTGAGACACTGACACAACATTTCTAGTAGGCAAATGTACTTTGTTTGCTTCTGTATTTGGAAGTGGTCTATGAGTGTGTAACATCTCTAAACTTGAAGTCATGTGATTTGAAGTCCCAGTGTCAAATATCCATTTACTATTGACACATTGAGAAATAAAAGCATTCACATGGTTTAGAATACCTGCTGTAACAACTTTGTTGGATAAGTCTGATCCTTCTGAACTTCCTCAAGAAAGTAGCTGAACAATTTGTTGGTATTGCTCAGGAGTAAAGATAGTGGCTGGATATGGCATCTACTGGAATGGAGCAGGTTGGCTCATTTGTTGTGTAGCACCTGAACCAGATGATCCATTGATAGTAGGAGTCATGTTGGCAGTCATATTGCATCTCTCCACACCTAAATTTTTTGCATTGCCTATATAATTAGCATGTTGTCCTGTACTAATTCCTTTTCTTTTGGATTTGAAATCAGTAGGATATCCAATCAATTTGTAACAATTTTCTTTTGTATGTCCCTTATAGTGACAGTTCTCATACTGAACTTTGACTACTTTTGGACCTATAGTTTTCAATATTGTTCACACTCTTACTGTTGTACAAGGCAGTACTTTCCAAGGCTTCAGTGGCCTGAGCAACTTGTGTTGTGCTTGTAAGATTCCTTTGACTCTCCTGATCTGCTAACAAAGAGTAGACTTTGTTTATACTTGGCAGGGGAGACATCATCATGATCTGACTCCTTGATTGAGAATATGACTCATTCAACCTAGTGAGGAATTGAAGAAGTCTTTGATACTCAAAGTGTTGAGCACATTGTTTGGATTCAGGGCAAGGACAACCAGGAAAGGCATGAGGGCATCAAACCCATCCCATATCTCTCTAAGCCTTGAGAAGTAGTCAGTTACAGTCATAGTTCCTTGGGTCAGTGTATGAACTTCTCTATGCAAATAGAGTATTCTCGAGCCATTTACTTTATCAAGCCTCTCTTTCAAATCTTCCCAAACTCTATGAGCACTAGACATATACAATACACTACTCGACAATCATGGTCTCACAACATTCATTATCCACGAGAGAACTATAGCATTAACTTTCTCCCACAGATCATAAAGCTCGGGCTCAAATTTAGACTTAGGAAATCTCCCATCGACAAAACCTAGTTTACTTTTACCTGGCAAGCCAATTCTCATTGCACGACTCCAAAAGACATAATTGTCTAATCTAGTAAGTTGAAAAGAAATCAGAGAGCTACCTGGTGTGTCTGTCGGTTCAGGTACAAAGGATGATTGTGATCGATGGTAGGAAAAGTAGCAGCTCCAGCAATAAAATTGCTAGTAGTTGAGGTCGCGCCAACGAGTTCATCTTTAATTTCCATTGTTGACCGAGAAATAGCTTCAAAGTAAGAGGCTTACAAACCCTAGCTTCAACCAAATGTCACTCTAGCTCAATTCAGTTCTCAATTGCACAATTGAAGTAACAGAGAAGACTCTATTTGCTCGCAATTTGCTTAGATTTCAACTGGTGGCTCTGATACATGTTAGCTGCCATGGAAATGAGATCTAAGCTAAGAAGAAGAAGAAGAAGAATCTGGAATAAGAGACGGAATCAGAGAAAGGCTCGATACATTTCTGAATGAAGAAAAAAGACAACTGTACAAGTGTCCACTATTTATAACAAACTAAATGACTTCCTTAACTAACTATCAACTAACTCACTAACTATGGTTTAACATTATATTATAATTAAACTATGGTTAACTATGTTGATTAGCAAAAGGTCCGATGGCTAGCCAAAGAGGTAAATCGTGGTCTAGTTTTAAGAATTAAGACGATGACACTTAGCATGCCGCTGATAAATTGTTTGCTTATGCTTTTCCTCATCTGTGTTCTTGTATCTTCCATTTTATGCGGCAAGGCTTAGAGCTTATAAGGTAAGTCACAATACATAATAATTTAAAATATTTAAATATTTTTAAAGAAAATTGTGGTCAATATTTTTTAACATTCCAAATGGTATAGTATCACATAAAATAAAACAAAAGAATACTTATATGGTTTTGTATGTCATTTCAACCTTTACAGCTTGTTTGGATGGTTGTCATGTATCGTTTCATAATGTATCTTATAGTATTGTATTGTATTGTACTATATCGTTTTGATGTATATAATGATTGGATAAATTGTATTGTTTGTCGTCGTTCCATGATGTCATGCACCAACAATATGAAGAAAAGACTTGCAATATTATAAAGAAAAAGTAAGGTAAAAGGTAAAACTATTTTATAAAAAAAGTAGGGTAAAAGGTAAATATGATTATTAAAAAAAAGGTAAGATGAGAGGAAAAAAAGGTAACGACGCGATCACTCTAAATCAGTTTTCCATAAAATGACACTTTTAATCGTTACATAATGATGGATTTAACGATACGCTATAATAAAATTTAAATAGCAATCAAAATAAATATTGTATTTAAAATAACAATACGATATAATACAATAGGTAACAACCATCCAAACAAGCTGTCAGGAACATATCTTTTATGTTGTAGGATTGTGGAGTTTAGATTTATAAAAATAAAAATTTATGAGAGAAAATCACTATTCCGCTTAAAATATTACTCAATAAATTTTTCATTAACGTTTCACTAGTGTTACAAATATTGAAATACCGGTGAGCAAACTTCACATTTTAATGATCTTGGATGTTTAAACAGTTTGACCTTGATACTTGAAATTATGTCAGTCTTTTTGGTAATGAATTTATGCCTTGAGAATAAGTGAAATTCTATCATGTATAAACTTGTTCCAAATAATAATATTATCTTCTTCTGCCGTTTATTTAATCTTTGAAGTTAGATAATGTAATTCAAAAGCATATCATGCTATAAAAAGCACAAAAGGGGAAAGGAAAACTTGAATAACCTTGCAATTGGATGTCAAACCTTGTTGACCATCTAGCATTTTTGTTAAATCATGCTTTGAAACTAAAACATTAAGAGTCTGTTTGGAAAGCCATCAGGTAATTGAAATTGGTGTAATTATTAGGGTAGTAATTACACAGCCTAGTAATTACACAGTAGTATAATTACGACGACCTGTTTGTTTGTCATAGTGTAATTACATTGTAATTACAAGTTTACTGTTTGGTTGCACAAGTGTAATTACACGGTTAGATTAAATTTTAAATAAATTAATTATCAAAACTTAAAAGTTAATATAATAAATATATGCTCATAAATTTTTATAAGTGTAAATGATATTATATTTGGTATTTGAGATGTATATTTTTTCGTGAATATACATTAATTAGTAATCATATATTTATAATTAATAATTATAAAAAATAATTTATATATATATATTCTAAATTAATAACATTTAGTTTAGATACTTACAAAACTAAAAATATATGTTTTGTACATCATGGAATTCATGTTTGATAAAATAAATTAATATATATAAATATAATGTCATAACATTATTCAAATGTTTGACAAAACTAATCTATCAATTTTAACTAAGAAAATGAACAATATGCAATGTGAGCCAATACTACTAAAACAAGTAAACCATGAATATAGCATAATTTTAAAACGCACACAAAAAAAATAGTTTAACATATGTCAAATTCCAACATAATAATAGTAAAATCGACTACATCTTAAGATTAGGAAATATAATAAGTTTATAATCATAATTAACAACGATATTTTACTTTAATTGCATCACTCATTATATGCCAAGTTAGTTAATGACTCATTATTTCTAATATTAGGAGGTGTAGTTTCAAAAAATAGAATAATAAATAAAATATAAGCAATTACATGAGATCACAAGAAGTAGTAGAGAAATAAAAAGAAGCAACGTACAACGAAAAAAAATTAAAAAGTAAAAATAAAATTTATAAAATAGAATTAAAATTTATAAAGAAAATAATTAAAATAAAATAAAAAGGAAAGAAACTAAAAAGCAACCTTGTAATTATACGGTATAATTACTACCAATTCTCACCTCCCCATTGAGAATTGGAGAGTATAATTACACCCCTCCAATTACACCCAATTCCATGCTGACCAAGTAATTACTTGGCCAAACAAACATGTCAAACTGTGTAATTATACCTAACTACATCCAAATCTAATTCTAATGTGACTTTTCAAACAGGCTCTAAGAAAGACGAGATCTTTAAATTATGTCAAACTTTCTATTTTCTTTTAGACCTTCATTAGCACCTGTACCGTCATAAGGTTATGAATTTTCCTTATGATTTTCTCAAGGTGCGAATTTCAGGGAAAATGAATATGGAGTAGATTACCCGATTTTTAACTCCAGCTTAAACGGTTCACGTGCTTTTGACGAATCAATTCCGTAAGAAATAACTACCATCTATCGATTTGTGTTATAAATATGACACAAACAAATAGAGTTGTGCACGGATCGGATCGGATCAGATTTAACATATTTCGGATTCGGATTTCGAATTTCGGATTGTAGAAAATGCAATCCGAATCCGATCCGAACTATATCGGATTGGATCGAATTTTAAAGTTTGGATCGGATCGAATTTCGGGTCGTATTATTATGCCTCAAAGTTGCAAACTAATATGTTATTTTTTGTATAAAAGAGGCAATACATTAAGAAAAATTCATGTTTATGCAATTATGAGAGTACTATGGTGCCAATATAGCTAATAGCCTGTTTGGCCAAGTTTTTTTTTGGACCAAAAGTGCTTTTTTTTTTTGTCCAAAAACACTTTTGGCAAAAAATTAAGGTGTTTGGCCAAGCTTTTGGAAGGAAAAAAAGTGCTTTTGAGGAGAAGCAGAAGCAGAAAAAAGTAGCTTCTCTCCAAAAGTACTTTTTTGAGAAATATTTTTGAGAAAAATACACTTAGAAGCAATTTTCAAAAGTTGGTCACCACTAATTACTGCTCAAAAATGCTTTTCTGATTAATTAGCCAAACACAAACTACTTCTCACCCAAAGCACTTCTTTTAAAAGTACTTTTGAGTTCTCAAAATAAGCTGCTTTAGAAGCTTGGCCAAACGGGCTATAAATCTAGCAATTGTAAAGGTAATAACTTGGATAAAGATGTAAAGAAAGTACTGACTATCCCAAGACTTCTGAATTCCGCAAACGATCAAAAAGCCTATCAAACCTCATCCGAATGACCTGAGATTTTGCACACACGTCACAAATGACACAACGGACCTACTCCAATTTCCGGAATTCCATTCCGACCCCGATATCAAGGTTTCCACTACCAACCGGAAACGCCGAAATTCCAATTTCGCCAATTCAAGCCTAAATCTACCACGGACCTCCAAATTACATTCCGATCACGCTCCTCCTAGGTCCCAAATCACCTAACAAAGCTATTTGAATCATAAAAACCAAATTCCGAGATCATTTACTCAAAAATCAACTTCCGGTTGACTTTTCCAACTGAATGGCCAACTTAAGCAAATATACTCAAAGGGGTTAATTGTGGGAATTGAATTCGACCCCAACTAAAATGGGAAACAACTCCAAATATCCCAGTTTTTTCTGGACGAATGACAAAGAATGATGGACGAATAATTTAATCAGCTTAAACAGTTTATATGCGGCAGGTATTCCGAAAATCAAGAAAACAAGAAACTAAAACTCACCTTATACCTGTACAATCAAGCGAATTAACTGTCCAAGAAGAGAGAAGAGTAGAAGAAACTAGGAAAATTGGAAGATCAGGTGAGCAGCGCTGGAAATTTTTGAAGAAGAAACAGAGCGTAGAGAAATTGGGAGGAAACCGAGCGTAGATATGTTCGTTTGAGCGGTGTAAAGCAACGTGTCAAAACTAAAGTAGGATTAACACTTGACTTTTGCCAAAGTATTTACAGTTTTCCCAAAATACCCCCGAACGACCCCAAGCTCCTCAAACTGTCGCTTATTAATAAGGGGAAAATGTCTAGTATAGACCAATCTCAAAACAAAAGGGACTATTCTTGTCATTTTCTCCAAATAGGTGGCATAAACTGAAGTTTAGTAAATAAGTTGAGGTCAATTTAGTATAAAGAACCTAACATACACCTTTTGTCTTCTGCAGCATCCATAACCTATAGCTCAAACCCTAACCATTCAACTTTATCATATCACTCCAGCGAACGACGATGTCTCACTTCGGCAGAACAGGCCCTCCGGACATCAAAGATACCTTCTCTCTTCTCGTTCTCAACGTTACTTTCCGTAATTACCCTTTCTCTTTCCCTATATTTACCGATTAGCAAATTTATTTTTCTTTTGAGGCAAAGTTGTTAAATTGGATATTACTCAATTATTGTTTGTTGTTGTTGTTGTTTGCTTGTACAGGTACCACCGCTGATGACTTGTTTCCTTTATTCGATAAGTATGGAAAAGTCGTCGATGTCTTTATCCCTAGGGACCGAAGGTTCTTACCTTTTCTATTTAACCTTTTTATTGTAGTATGTGCTATATTTTTTTTTTTATGTTTGTTGTCTTTTTTTTTTTAAAAACTGTTTTCCCCCCATCCTACTTGGTTATATCATAGTAATTAATATGACCCACCTTTTATTTTAGGACGATCTAAAATGTTTGATATCATTAAACTAATAATATCATCCTATACTTCTTTGCCACTTGAGAATTTAAATTCATTTTATATATTCTCTGTCAAACAAACTTTTCAAACAGTATCCTGAAATTCTATTTTACTACCATTAATATAATACAAAAGTCAAATTAATATTTTAAACTCTGTTATTTATTTGGTGCTTTAGGACTGGAGATTCTAGGGGTTTTGCATTTGTACGCTACAAGTATCAGGATGAGGCTCAAAAGGCAGTGGAAAAGCTCGATGGTAAATGAAGTGATTTCTAACATTTAAATTAAGTTATTAGTCCTCCAATATTTTTCTGGATATTACAATTCGGGTGGTAGCCTTATATTGCTGTTGATCACACTATTATTTGTCCACAGGAAGAGTTGTAGATGGTCGAGAAATAATGGTTCAATTTGCAAAGTACGGCCCAAATGCTGAAAGAATGTAAGTTTTATTTGATGCAAATATTTATTAAGTTGCGAGCTTGCGTTGTTGAAAGTTGTGATTTTCACTCTTGTATATTTAGGTGCATTTTTTATCCTATAAATTGAGCTGTAATTTTGTTTGTGACAATAAAACTATGGCTAATGGAGGCTAGGATTGTTTTTATGAACAGTGACAAAGGTAGAATTTTGGAGCCTGTACATAGTACAAGAGGAAGGTCAAGAAGCCGCAGTCCTAGTTCAAGGTAAGAGCTAATTTATTTAATTCTTCCACTGAAATCCCGGTTGTGAACATCGAGATTTCATTGGAATATATTTGTTTGTGTTAATGTGATCCTAATCATTGAGCTTTGTTGATTAGTCATACAAATGTTGGGAATATATCCTATAGGAAATTTCGTTGGAGTTTATGATCATGTGTTCTTTCTACCTAAGGAGCAATGTTTTAAAAGCGAAAAGAAGTGACAAGGTCAATGGTACTTGCAGCGAAAAGCGAGAAGTGAAGCACACAATTTGTTTGGTTATTTCGTTGATGCACGAAGTTTATGGAAAAGCAGAAAATGGCATATATGAATTTAATGTTTTTTTTTGATAAGTAAAGATTGACTATAACTGGTACCAAGATGGTACATAGAACAGTACAGGACCAGACTATAACTCTTACTTAATTCATACTACATTTTTTCTCCTAACAAGTGCAAAAAATCCAAATACTGGTCCATCTCATCTAAAGAACTGCTATAACACCAGTAATACAAAATTTTAATACATTTGTTTTTGACTCTAGCAATCTGCAGTCTCTTTCCCTCAAAGCATGCTTTATTTCGCTCCAGCCATAATGTCCACATTATGCAGTTGGGAATAGTTTTCCATATTAGCTTTAAGCTTCTTTTTACTCTCTGGGATTGCCACATTTCCAGCAAGCTACTAATCTTCTGAGGTAGCACCAAAGATACGCCCATTATGTTCAAGAAAAATTCCCAGCATTGTCTTGAAAATGTGCAATGCAAAAAGAGATGCTCAACTGTTTCCTCCTCTGACTTGCAAAAATAACATCTACTGCACAGAGAAACCCTCTCCTCTGTAACCCTAAATCAATTTAATGTTGTAAAAATCAAATTACAATCATTGTTACCTCTCTCGAAAAAATAATCAAATTACAATTAAAATAACTAATTTCAGCATCAAATATGCAATGTTTCCAAAATTAATCCAACTCCTCCAAGTTGAGATTCATAAAATGCTTGCTTTTCTTTTAAATCACTTTGTGCGTCATTATTTGAAGCGCACACTTCTCTCAAGCACACGGCTTCCTTGAAGCGATAGCCCTTTGCTTGTCATTGCGATGAAGCAATGACTTTTAATAACAATGGTTAAGAGAAAAAATCTTTAAGGTCTCAAAGAACACTAAACAGGTTAACACTGTCTTTTGTTGGGGTGAGAAGAGAGCTGATGAGCGGAGGGGAGACAAAAGAGTAGTGTCTTTCCTTATCTGATAAATAAGTATAAGACTAGTGGAGGTTATAGTAGATGGTTTGATAGCAATCCACTCTTTTTTCTCTTTGTTTTTCCAACTCTTTCAAACTTGGACTGAAACAAGGAAGGTTTATCTTTTTTTTTTTTGTACTTAATTTCTGCGAGTGCTAATCAACTAGGGGTAGAATATTAAGTATCTCCAGCCATATAGAAATGAACATTCAAGTTCCTCTTTCTTGGGCCCTACCCTCTTTGTGGAATTAATAGCCTGTTTGGCCAAGCTTCTCAAGAGGCCAAAAGTGCTTTTTTTCCCAAAAACACTTTTTTCCCCTAACTTGAGGTGTTTGGCCAAGCTTTTTTGAGGAAAAAAAGTGCTTTTGGGAAGAAGCAGAAGCAGTTTCTGAGAAGCAGAAAAAAGTAGCTTCTTCCCGAAAGCAGAAGCAGAAGCAATTTTGACTTTTCTTCTTACCAAAAATGCCCTTAACAAAATATAGTATATACCAAAATAACCGTTAAACCTGATACTTAGGATATTAATGTATAAATATTTCTTCTTATTTTTAGGATAGCTTTCTAATATATAGTGACTTTAGCGGTGAATGCTTTTTTTATATTTGTTGAATGATTTTAATATATTTAACTTATATTAAAAGAATTAAGTACTTCTTAATTTTATTTTCATATTTTACTTAAATAAAATGAAAAGATTTAATTATTGCATGTAATAACAAATTTTTGAGATTATTTATTTACATATAATATTAACTATAAAGTAAATTTATTCATGTCCTTATTCGTAATTTGATACTTAAAAGCACTTTCTGAAAAGCTTGGCCAAACACAAATTATTGCTCAAAAGTGCTTTTAAGAGTAATTAGAGCCAAACACATACTGCTTCTCTCCAAAAGTACTTTTTTAAAAACACTTTTAAAAAAAGCGCTTCTCAAAATAAGCTGATTTCTCTAGTTTGGCCAAACAAGCTATAAATATGGTTTATGGCATTCAGAGATTTAGATTTATTTTTCCCAATTGCATTAAATTATACTGTTGGCAAAAATTTCATATGCTCAGATTTACAAATTTTGGTTTCTAACTGATTTTGATGTCAAAAGCATTATCAGATTTTTTCTTCTGTGTAACTAGAATGTGGAGGTTTAGAACAATCCTTTAGAATCATGCTGCAAGATTTACTAGTTGAAAGACTGCCTACTTGAGAGATGCTATTTTGGGTCTCATGATCCTTTTGCAATCAAAACATGTGAAAAATGCCATTGAATTGGTTTTCTTGAAATTCCCTGTCCTTTCCGGCCTTAATAAAATGTAGATGATCTGGAGTAGGGAAATGGTGATGTTTAGCTTACGTTTCCATAGATTTTTCAGTTGACAAACCTGACTAGTTGGATCTTTTCAAAGTTCTTTTTTTTCTCGGAGACAGTTTTCTGAATTTTAAGTAAAAATTATTCTCCCTCCTCAGCTTTTGTGCATGGAACTTGACCTTCTTAATAAATTGGCTGTTTTGTTAAGCTTTCGTTTTTTGGGTAATATTTTTCCCTCTTACTGAGTTGATCAAATTTTAGTTGATTGATTGAGTTGATAATGACTTTACTTGGCCTTCATGCTTTCAATTGCTCTTTGCAGTATGTAGCAACCATCTCAATATGTTAAGCTGAGAGGGGGAAGTATGGAAATTAGCAACATTGTTATCTTCCTGCCATTAATGTTCATCATAATGAATAGTGTCGTTATTTTACTTGCTTTCTGCCATTAATGTTTTTATTTTCAATGTAGAAAACATTTCCATCTTGAAACCATGTCTCATTTTGATTAGATCCTGATGCCTGGCATCATCAACTACTACCTGGCTGGATACTATAATTTCAAAACCTGTTATGGTGTCGAATGTGGTGATCCCATCAAGGCATGACTAATTTGAGCTTCTGTGGAACATATTTGGGTATTAGAATGGATACTGGTGTTAAAATGAATACTCTCTTAACTCTTCTTTGACCTCCCATCGTTAATATTCTTCTGCTATCATGCATTTTCTCTCCAAAACAAGGTGGAAGTGTTCAAATAATCTTGCTTCCCCTTTAATATGATACTTGAGTTAAATGATTGGCATTTTGCTTTGAGCTGTTGAAGAGTTGTATCCACAATCTGAAGATCACCTTCTTTTAATTTTTTTTTATCTTAGGCATCGTGATCATTATAGGGAAAAGGATTCTAAAAGGAGAAGCCGAAGTAGAAGTAGGGACAGGTATGACCGTGATAGGTACCGTGGGAGAGACAAGGATTACCGTCATAAGAGCAGAAGCCGCAGCCCTGATTACCGCAAAGATCGCGAGAGAGGTAAATATGATGAGGAGAGGCGCAGCCGAAGCCGGTGTCATAGAAGGTAGAAAATTTTCATATGTGTTTTGCTTCTTCTTCCCAACCCCCCCCCTACCCCCCCCCCCCCCAACCCCCCGCGTAAACTATTTTTGTAAGTGTTGTCTAACGTGTCATTTTACGTTAAGTGTGTCCCCTGCTCGCCGTAGCCTCAGTCCTCGGAGGAGCCTTTCTCCACGTAGAACAACCCCTTCTAGGGATGCTAGTCCAGCTGGACGTAACCACAAGGACCGGTCTCCAACTCCAAAGAGTGTCTCACCGCGGGGTAGACGTGGTGGTTCTCGCAGCCCCTTGCCGCATTCTGATGCTGATGTGAGTTGTGCCTGTCATACATTGTTTTATTACAGTATAAATGTGATGAAAAAGCATTATTTTGCTTTTGTAGGATTAAGGAGCGAAGGAGAAGGCCATGAATGTAATCTGGTTCTGGTCGATGTTGCGTATCAAGAGTACATTCCCAAATGAAGGATCCTTTCATCTATTTTCTGCTTGCTAGAACTGATTGGCCCGTCTTATTTATAAGGTTTAACTCCTTTTTGTTGTACTTGATCCATGCTAGAACTTTGATGTTACCTCTGCATTCTGGTATTATGGATTGGTATTGTGATATTAAGATATCTACTGTTGGTTTATAATTACTGCTCTGTTTTTGGCTTTATTTGATTTCTTATTTCCTTTCTTATTCATAGGATACTTGCATGGAATATTGTGATATTATACCTTGTTGTAATTTACTTATGATGGAAATTATTGGCCTTCTATAGTTGGGTCCGTGAAAAATCAATGTGGCTGAATTGCAAGATGATACAGCAGCTGTTGATGCTGTTATATTTGCTGTTGGTTGTAATTTTGTTGCTGGTCACAAACTACCATTTCTTCGCTGAATGGCAAGGAGATGCTGCAGCTGTAGATGCTGTTTTGACTTGGTTGATTATAATTTGTTGCTGGTGACATACTACTGTTTGTTGGTTGAATGGCAAGCATATGCAGCAGCTGTTGATGCTGTTTTAGCTTTGTTGTTGTAATTTGTTGCTGGTGACAAAATACCATTTCTATACAAATGTTCAGGATTCTCATGATCGGTAAGGATCAAAACTCCTGAATAGCTGAAGTCATGCTAGGTTTATGCCTTTCGCCTGCCAGTCATTTTTTTTATCTGTCTTTATATGAAAGAAATCCACATGTTCAAGTGTAGCTATTGAAGTTGATTCCAGGTTGATATTTTGTTATGCCGAGTAGAAATTTCAATATGTGACCAAATGAATGAGTTCAGATGTAGTGATTGTGTGATCTTAAACATTGCACGGATTTGATTTCTCATTTTTTACCCTTATCATAATAAATGAATCACGCAATCTGTCAATAGTAGGTTCTAGTATCTTTATTTGCTTTATGGTGTTGAATGTTCTTCAGGTACATAGTATAGCACCTATAGTTAAGCTAATGATAGTTGCACTATGTTACAGCGCGTGAGTTCATGCTTACACCCGTGAAGTTCTAGCTGATCTCTGTAGATCTTTTGTTGCTGTTAGCTGATAGCCTAGCAAACTGATGCTGTTTTTTGGCGTTAATGGTCTGCTTGATGTGTACAGTTGGACCCTCTGCATGTTGTTCATGCACCTTCTGCAGGAGCTAAGTTGTGTGTTTATGTTGTGCTGAGTCACCTCAGATATGCACCATCTGCGTCTCTTATTGGTTATTTTTCAGTGGAACATGTGCACATTGCCGACTTGGAGATCTGACAGTTTCCTGTGAGAGTGTTAATCTATCAGAACTTAACCTTCTTTTACTCCGTCTGCTTGTGGCTTGATGCATGTATCTCACCTTTCTTGTTATCATGGCATTTAGAGGTAGAATTGGGGCGTTTGATAGCGACTAGGGTATTACATTACTATAGTCCAGTGTGATAACCCTTTGTCGGTTAGGGTTTCAATATGGTGGTGTTTTAGAACTTTGGTACTGATGTAGTGGGGTAAACTACTGTGTTAAAAGGCACTCTCTCCCTAGGAATTTGTGCTCTTCCATAGGGCTTCCGAATTGTAAGTGCTTCCATATTGGACAAGTTCTATGCTAGATGGCTATGGATTTGGCTAGCTTGATGAGGAAGTTTGGGAAGGTAACAAGATACTGCTTAGGGAGTATCTGTTTTTCCTGTTATGCTTTACTCCGCAGGGTTGGCTCTTTATGTTTGGTTAATAAGGCAGTAATAAGAAGTTCAAAAGCAAAGTTGTTGATGGCCATGTCATATATATATATTTGCCTTCCTATTGCCCGTTGATAAAAGTTCCACGTTGCTCTATGAAGAAAAATCCTTCAATCTCATTCTGTATCGACGAACCAACGGAGATTCCTGACAAGGCTTCTGTCAGCTTTCCACGCCATGGAGAGCTGACATTTATTATTCTTTTTAAAGTCCTTTCAAAACGTATTGTGGTCGGATGATAATAGAGAATTCCTCACACAGAATGTCACTAAATATTTGGTCACATTTGGTGATTCCAGAAAACCAGTGGTGCATATCTCTGCACTGATATTTATCACTTATCTATGGTTAATTGACATTATCTAATGTTTATAACACCGGTTTGGTGTAAGCACCTGCAAGTATTTTGATAGTTTATCAAGATTTGCGGACAGTTTGTAGTACTCAAGAACCGCAATTTGTTCTGCGCAGCGCACGATTCCAGCGCCACTCAGATTCCAAAGACACATGTTTCTGGTTTGACAGGCATATCATTTGGCCGATTTTCCGTTGATATCCCTTACGATGCCTGAAATGGCCTGTTGGACCTCAAAATTAGAATGGTCAGCGGTAGATACAACTCCCAAAGGGTCCAAATAATAATCAATGTATAGTTCTTTCATGATTTTACGTATAATAGGTATAATCCACATAGTTGGTCGAATTTAACCATGCAATACGAAGTAGCTTTACTTGTTAGAAATTTACGAATCTTTTAAACTAAAGAGACAATTAAGATACACATTTCCAAATCCATTTCCCCCCATTCATATCTCAAGGAAAAAGCCCTATTCATTATAATTGAACCCATTCGTATGCTTCCTTTTACCGTCCATTATGTGAAATAGTGAATCAATTAATGTTTATGTCTTTGAATTAAGTAACACTTCTGTTTTTGAGATCTTGGAAGTTATATTTTTCTTAAGGTGTGAATTAAGAGAAATGAATCTTGAGAAAATCGTCCCAATGGTTTCTTCAACTTAAACGGTTTACATACTTTTTATAGATCAACTCCGTAAAAAATAACTATCTCCATGTGTTAAATATAGCAGACTAAAACTGTTCTATTTTGGTAAAGTTAAGGGACCGAGACCGCTTGTGGTTATAGTATTAAGACCAATTTATATGAATCCCAAAACATTAGGGACTATTCTTGTCATTGTCTCCATATATGTGGCATAAACTGAAATTAAGCAAACAAGTCAAGGCCAATTTGGTACAAACAGATCGACATTATCTTACCCGCGTCCATAACCTATAGCTCCAAACCCTAACACCATTCAACCTTATTATCAGTCATTCACTCCGGCGAACGGCGATGTCTCACTTCGGAAGAACAGGCCCTCCGGACATCAAAGATACCTTCTCTCTCCTCGTTCTCAACGTTACTTTCCGTAATTACCCCGTCTTCCCTTTATTTACCAATTAGCAAATTTAGTTTTTCTTGTGTTGTAAAGTTGTTGAATCTAATATTACTCAATCATTGTTTGCTTGTACAGGTACCACTGCTGATGACTTGTTTCCTCTTTTCGATAAGTATGGAAAAGTCGTCGATGTCTTTATCCCTAGAGACCGAAGGTCCTTACTTTTTCTATTAACCTTTGCTTGTAATATGTATTTTCTTTGGGTCATTGAGCAAACCGGTATCTTTGTTATGTGTTTGTTGTCTTTATTTATTCATTATTTATTTATTACCGTGGTATTCTTTTCTCCATCCTACTTCTTGGTTATATGATATGTTTCAATTAAATGTTAGAAATCATTCAACTAATTATATCATCCTATACTTTACTTACAAGTTACAACTTTGATGAGCTCACATTCATTTACATTGGAATTTTCGAAAATTCAAATTCATTTGATAATTGATATATTCTCTATCAGACTAACTTTTCAAACATTATCCTGAAATTTTAATTTAACTACCATTAATATAATACATAAGTCAAATTAATATTTTAAACTGTTATTTCTTCGTATCCGCCTACGCCTTGGTGAACAGCTTTACCGGGGTACTTGTACTGTTAGGTGGGAGGATGTAGGTATTGTTTTGGATAGTTGGAGGTGTGCGCAGCGTGGCTAAAGTTCAGTGTGTAGTTGGTACCATCATATAAATAGTGAAGTGAAATAGCAAGGAAATGATTTCTCCTTTTCAAGGTGTTCTGATAGTTATACATTACTTATGAGCTGAGACCTACGGATGATGTTTTGGTGTTATCTTGGTATGGAGATAGACAAAGATGTAGTGGTGTCTCTATTCTTTGACATGTACAATGTTTATTTCGTGCTTTAGGACTGGAGATTCTAGAGGTTTTGCATTTGTGCGCTACAAGTATCAGGATGAGGCTCAAAAGGCAGTGGAAAAGCTCGATGGTAAGTGAAGTGATCACTAATATGTAAATTAAGTTATTTAGTCCTTCAAACTTTTTGTAGATATTACATTTTGGGTGTAGTCTTATGTTGCTCTTAATCACACCAATATTTGGGCACAGGAAGAGTTGTAGATGGTCGAGAAATAATGGTTCGATTTGCAAAGTATGGCCCAAATGCCGAGAGAATGTAAGTTTTATTTGATGCAAATATTCAGTAAGTTGCAGAGCTTCCTTGTTTAAAGTTGTGGTTTTTATTCTTCTATATTTAGGTGCATCTTACCCTATAAATTGAGTTGTAATAACCTTTTGTTTTGTGGCAATAAAACTATGTCTAATGGAGACTAGGATTCTTTTTCTTATCAGTGACAAAGGTAGAATTTTGGAGCCTGTACATAGGACAGGAGGAAGGTCAAGAAGCCGTAGTCCTAGATCAAGGTAAGAGCTTAATTATTTAATTGTGTCCACTTAAAGTCCTATCGTCGATATTTGGATTTCAATTGGAATATAATTGTTTGTGTTAATGCTATCCTGATCATTGAGCTCTATTGATTAGTCATAATCATACTTTGGGGATATTTCCTATAAGAATTTCATGGGAATTTGTGATCATGTGTTCTTTCTATGTCAAGTGCAATGTTTTTACAAGCGAAAAGTGAAAAGAAGCAGCAAGGTCCGTGCGACTTGAAGTGAAGCGAGAAGTGAGGCGCACAACTTCTTAGAAATGAAGCATGCAATTTATTTCTTTAGTTTTCGTTGAAGCGCGCAATTTATGGAAAAGAAAAAATGGCATACATGAATTTAGTATTATAACAGTTAATTACAATTAGAATAACTAATTTTAGCATCCACTATATAATATTTCCAAAATATATCCAACTCCTCCAAATTGAGATTCAATAAATCAGTGTTTTTCTTTTATATTAATTTGCACTTCATTATTTGAAGTGCACACCTCTTAAAGCACGCTGCTTCTTTGAAGCAATAACCCTCCATCATGATGAAGTGATGGCTTTTAATAACAGGGATTAAGAGAAGCGATCTTAAAGGTTCTCAAATAATACTAAACAGGTTAACACTGTCTTTAGTTGGAGTTGAAAAGAGAGCTGGTGGTGGTTGGGGAAACAATAGAGTAAGTTTCCTTATCTGGTAAGTAAGTATAAGACTACTGGAAGTTAAAACTGTAAAGGGTTTGATAGCCCTCCCTAGTTCTCTTTTTATTTTTATTTTTTATAATTATTTATCCCAACACTTTCAAAAATGCACTGAAATTAGGAGTTTATCTATTTATTTCACACTAGTCTTCGGGTAAGGCCTGTGTACGTATTACCCTCCCCAGACCCCACCTCGTGGGACTATACTGGGTAGTTGTTGTTGTTGTTGTTTAGTCTTAAGGTACGCCCTTTGCATGTGTTCCCATGTTAATAAGTATAAACTTTTTAAAGTTATATAAATATTACTTTTAAATAATGTATTTAAGTTTATAAAACAATAATGAAGAGAAAAAGTTTAAGCGCCTAAAAATTATGAATATTGATCTTAGATAAGCTAGCTCAATAAAAAAAGAGATCATGTATAAAAAATCCTTGGATGCCTCATTATAATTTTAAATCTATTTGGAAGCCCGGAAAAAGTAGAACAATATGTTAACTTGAATATTGTAAAACACTTCTTTAAGAAAACAACTTAACAATACTTCTATATTGTTATAAACTTGAATTTTATGTGAATGTAATGAGTATTTTAAAAATATCTTATGAAAATCACTGTTGTTTCGTTGATTTGTATTAAATTCAAAATGACCACACTTATTTTAAGTATGAAATTTGAAAAATTAAATTTTGTTTAATATTTTTTCCTTTATACTTTTGTCAACTCTTCAAAGATTCATGCCAAATAAAATGAATCTAAAATTTGATACTTTTGATCTTTTTGAAATTTTGAGAATGAAGAGGCTAGCCCTATAACTCATAGAAAAATAAGTATAATGTATGATTGACATTGATAAAGTCTAAAAATGACTAATTTTAAACTAATATTATACGATAAATAACTTGATATCTAATGCACTACAAGCCGTCAATAACTAAGGAACTAAAACACAAAAGAAACAAATTAATGAGCCACATTTGAGAAGAACTTTTAATTTAAATTAATAATTTCACAAACAACAAAGAGATTGCAGAAAAAAATACGAAAGGATAAAAGCATAAGGAAACGAACATTCCAAATATAATGGTACACGGATACTTGGTGCAAGAACTTGGACAGAAATAATTTTCAAGTACTAATATATACCTTTTTATTAATTAATTGTTATTCTTTAAGTGTTTTCATGTTGAAATAATAGATCATAAAAGAAAGGTCTTTAGGTAAGTAAAATTTCACTCGATTTTGAATTTCTACATATTAGTAGTTTTACTTAGTTCAAATAAGGAAAGATTTAATAGCCAAAATTTTAGTTGATTCAAAGTTCTAAATGTTAGGAAATTTATTAGAAAATTATTACTAAATATTAGGAAAATAATCAAATGACTATTTTGTCCAGTGTGAACTTTAGTTTAAAAGGGTAAAAAAGATGAACGCCATTTCGCTAAAAGTCTTCGTGCTTTTAATATAATATAGATATAGATTATTTATGTAAGTACTAATCAACTAGGAGTAGAATATCAAAATACTCCAACCTTATGGAAGTGAACATACGAGTTCTTCTTTACTGGGACTTCCCTCCTCTTCGTGGAATTAAACATAATTTAAGGCATTCAGAGATTTAGATTTTTTGCCAATTTTTCTTAACATTATACTATTGACCATTTCCTTTGCTCAGATTTACAAATTTTGATTTTAACTGATTGATGTCAAAAGAATTATCAGTATTTTTCTTCTCCTAACCAGAATGTGGAGGTTTAAAACGATCCTTTAAAATCACGCTGCAGGATTTACTAGTAGAAAATTCTACTGCCTGCTTGAGAGATGCTATATTGGGTCTCATGAATCTTTGCAATCAAAACATATGAAAACTGCTACGCAATTGATTTTCGCGAAATTCCCTGTCCTTTTCCGCCCTTAATTAAACGTGGATGATCTGGAGTAGGGAATGGAAGGGAGATGGCGATGCTTCCATAGGTTTTTCAGTCAACAAACCTAACTAGTTGGATGATCTTTGAAAAAAAATTGGTGACTGTTTTCTGAATTCTAAGTAAAATTATCCTCCTCATCAGCTGTTGTACATGGAATTTGCCCTTAATAAATCGGCAGGTTTGTTAAGCTTTCTTTTTTTGGGGAAGATTTTTTCCTCTTGTTGAGTTGAATGATTGAATTGATAATGACTTTATTTTGGCCTTCATGCTTTCAATTTGTCTTTGTAGTATGTACCAGCCATCTCAGTAAGAGAGGGAAGTATGGAAATCAGAAAAGTCGTTATCTTTCTTCCTGTCATTAATGTTTATGATAATAAATAATGTTGTGATATATACTTGCTTCCTGCCATTAGTGTTTTCTTTCCCGATATTAAATGGAAGGAAACATTTGCTTTTAATTAATTAAAGCGATCTACACTGCAAACACTACAAAATATCTGAGTCAAAATATCTGAGTAGGTTCGCGAAATCATGTTTCATTTTGATTAGATGGTGATTCCTTTATATGTTCAGCATCATCACCTACTACCTGGCTGGATACTTATATCAGTTATCTGCTTGGGATTGTGTTCAGAACAACCTATAACTTCAAAACCTATTATGGGTGTGGAATGTGGTGATCCAATCAAGGCATAGTTAAATTTGAGCTTTTGTGGATAAGCATATTTAGGTGTTAGAATGTATACTGGTGTTAAAATGAATACTCTCTTACCTCTTTCGTGTTCTCCATTTGTTGATATTCTTCTGCTATCACCCATGACCTCTCCAAAACAAGGTGGGAAGTGTTCACATAATCTTGCTTCCCACTTTTATGTGGTACTTGAGTTAAATGATTGACATTTTTCTGAGCTAAAAGAGGTTGTAGGGCGAGGTATTTCACAATCTGAACTTCACCTTCTTTTATCTATCTATTTATTTATATATTTATTTGTTTATCTTAGGCATCGAGATCATTATAGGGACAAAGATTCTAAAAGGAGAAGCCGAAGTAGAAGTGGGGGGAGGTATGACCGTGATCGGTACCGTGGAAGAGACAAAGATTACCGTCAGCGGAGCAGAAGCCGCAGCCCGGATTATCACAAAGCTCGTGGAAGGGGTAAATATGATGAAGAGAGGCGCAGCCGAAGTCGGTCTCATGGAAGGTAGAATTTTTTTTATTAAATATTTTGCTTCTTCTCTCTCTCTTCCCCGGGGAAAGCCATCTCATAAGCTTTGTCTGACGTGTTATTTTACATTTAAGTGCCTCCCCTGTTCGTCGTAGCCCAAGTCCTCGGAGGAGCCCTTCTCCACGCAGAACAACCCCTTCTAGGGATGCTAGTCCAGATGGTCGTAATCGCAAGGAGCGGTCTCCAACTTCCAAGAGTGTCTCACCGCGTGGTAGACGTGCTGGTTCTCGCAGCCCCTTGCCACGTTCTGATGCTGATGTAAGTTGTGGCTGTCATACATTGTTTAATTGTAGTATAAATGTGATGAGAAAACATTATTTGCTTTTGTAGGATTAAGTAGCAAAGGAGGAGGCCACAATTGTCATCTGGCTTTGGTCAATGCTGCGTATCAAGAGGACATTCCAAAATGAAGGACCTTTCATCTATTTTCTGCTTGCTAGAACTGATTGGCCGTACTTATTTATAAGGTTTAACTCCTTTTGTTGTACTTGATCCATACCAGAACTTTGATGTTACCTCTGCATTCTGGTATTATGGATTGGTGTTCTGATATTAAGATATCTATTGTTGGTTGGTTTATAATTATTGTGGTCTGTTTGGCTTTATTTGATTTCTTTTTGCTTTTCTTATTCAAAGTATACCTGCATATATTGTGATAGTATACCTTGTGGTAATTTACTTATGATGAAAATTATTGGCCTTCTATAGCTTGGTCCGTGAAAAGTCAATGTGGCTGAATAGCAAGATGATGCAGTAGCTGTTGATGCTGTTTTATTTGCTGTTGGTTGTAATTTTGTTGCTGGTCACGAACTACTGTTTCTTAGCTCAATGGCAAGAAGATGCAGCAGCTGTCGATGCTGTTTTAACTTGGCTGTTTATAATTTGTTGCTGGTGACATACTACTGTTTGTTGGTTGAATGGTAGCAGATGCGCAGTAGCTGTTGATGCTGTTTTTTTTGCTGTTGTAATTTTGTTGCTGGTGACAAATTAGCGGTTTCTATTCAAACGTTCAGGATGCTCATGATCGGTAAGGATAAGAAACTCCTGAATTTCTGAAGTCATGCTAGGTTTATGCCTTTGGCCTGTCAGTCGTTTCCTTTTTCTGCCTTAACTTCATATTTTGCCCTGAGAAGGTGTTAGCGATCATCTTAAAGATGAAAAAAACCACATTTTTAAGTGTAGCTATTGAAGTTGATTCCAGGTCAAGATTTTGTTATGTTGAGTAGAGATTTCAATATTAGACTGAATCAATGAGTTCAGGCATAGTGATTGTTTGACCGTAAACATCACGCTGATATGGTTTCTTCATCTTATGGTTATCAAAGTAAATAAAATAAATAATGAATTTCCCAATCTGTTAATACTTGGTTGCAGTATCTTTTATGTGCTCTATGGTGTTAAAAATGTTCTTCAAGTACATAGCGTAGCACCGATAATTAAGCTAATGACAGTTGCATCGCATAGCACCTATAATTAAGCTAATGATAGTTTGCAGTATGTTACAGCGCAAGAGTTCATGCTTGTATGCATGACGCTCTAGCTGATCTCTGTAGATCTTTTGCTGCTGTTAGCTGATATCAAATTGATGCTGCTTTTTGGTGTTGATATTCTGCTTAATGTGTTCATTTGGATCCTCTGGATGCTGTTCGTGCACCTTCTGCAGAAGCCAAGTTGTGTGTTCATGTTGTGCTGGGTGACCCAGTCTCCTAGTGATTTTTCTTTTAATGGAACATGTGCACGTTGCCGACTGTGAGAATGCTAATTTATCAAACTTAACCTTCTTCGACTCCACCTGCACTTTGCTGGATACATGTATCTCACCTTTCGTATTATCTTCATAATGGCAATTCTGTTAGAATCCCCGTAGAACTTTCCAGCGGCATATAGAGGTGCCTCTTTTGGCGAGGTTATGTGATAGCTGCTAGGGTATTTTTCATTACTGTAGTCGGGTGTGGTACCTTGTCTATTAGGTTCCAATATGATGGTGTACTAGATCTCTAGTTGATTCGGTTTGTGGGATATTACTATGTTATGGTGCTGTCTCACCAGGAATTTGTGCCCTTTCATAGGGGTTCCGAACCGCATGTGCTTAATTAATTGCTTACCATATTGGACAAGTACATTTTTACTAATGGCTATGGATTTGACTAGCTTGATGAGGAAGTTGGAAAAGGTATCAAGATGTTGCTTAGGGAGCTTTCGGATTTTCCTGTTGCGCGATACTTGGCAGGATCTGCTTTTTATGTTTGGTTGATGAGGCTGTGATGAGAAAGTTCAAAAGCGAAGTGGGTGACGGGACTCTTATTTTTCTTTTGCCTTGCCTGTTGCAATTGGTAAACTTGCATGTTGCAGCAGAAAGAATAATCCTTCAATTTCTTTCTATATTGACGAACCAATGGACATTCCTGCCAAGACCACTGTCAGCTTTCTGGTGGATGGAGATTGAACCTTTTGTTATTCTTTCTTGAATTTTTTCTTAAAAAAAAATTGTGATCCGACGACATTTACTAGAACTCGCTAATGGAACAATTCTCCATTCAAAATGTACAAATGGTGTTTTTACAAACCAATAGATATATGATATATGTTTGCACATATCACGTAACCATGGGTAATCTATATATATTCTTCTTATTAAGTCACCTGCTAATTTTAAGTAGATATCCTTTGGTTTTCTAATGACTTTCTCCTTGGGACCGAGAAGATGATACAACTCTTGAATGGCTTGTCCATAATTTCCACAACTTGTAGGCTTGGCCAATTGATTAGAAATGTAATCGCTAACCACCTTTTCGTTGGTATTTACTTTCATGGATAATGAGACGTTAACTCATCTGGAATTAGCCAAAATCAGCTTATTGGTTCAATTCCTGCTACCTTTGGCAATTTGAGAAACTTGCAAATACTGTTTCTCGATACCAACAAACTTTCTAGGCCCATTCCTACAGAGTTGGGGAATCTGAAAAACCTCACTGCCCTGAGAATTGGCCGATAACCTGCTTACTGGTTCAAACTGTTTCTCAGTATTTGGATGACTTGGTTTGAGAACTTTGCAGTGAGTAATAACAAGCTGACAGGGACAATACCACGAAGCTTGAGAAAGTGCTCTGAGTTTCAAAAGAGTTCGCTTTAGTTTCACTGAGAATTTATCTGAAGCTTTTGGTATCTATCCAGAGCTTCAGTTCATTGATTTGAGCGAAAATGATTTTCATAGTGAACTCAGCAGCAACTGGGGGAAATGCAAGAACTTGACTGATTTGCGGATAGCCAGAAATAACATTAGTAGCGGCATACCACCAAAGATTGGAAACCTCAGAGAGCTTCTAGGACTTGATCTTTCGTCGAATCATTTATTCCTAAGGAATTTGGAAAATTGACCTCTTTAGTTAAATTATTTATGCAAAACAACCACATTATGGCGGTATTCCTACATAACTTGAGTCACTAACAAAGTTAGAGTCCTTTGATTTGTCACAAATAGATATTTATAGGAGATTACATGAACATGTTTTTCTTGAACCTAAACATCAACAAATTTGACCAGAAAATTCCAATAGAGAGAGGGGGGATAACTCATCTAAGTGTACTTGATTTGAGCCATAACCTTCTTAACGGGGAAATAGCTCCTCAGTTAGCCCATTTGCAGAACTTGGCAAACATCAATCTTTCCCACAATGACCTCTATGGCCGCATTCCTCAAGAATTTGAAAGCTCGACTGGTTTACTGGATGTCGTATTGTCATTTAATGAGTTGAAAGGTTTGATACCAAATAATAATGCTTTTATGAATGCTTCATTAGAAGGTAACAAAGGTCTTTGCGGCAATGTAACAGGATTCCAAACTTGCGAAAGGCCATCTTCTATGGTGAAAAAGCATGATGGGTTTACTGTAACTTAGCTTTATGTTTTTATGATCTAACAAACTTACTGTCAAAGAACCGGATAAGGAACCTGATACAGTTGGTACACAACTCAAATCAACAGACTTAAGCTAATGTGAGTTGCTATGACTTTAGAAGATAAAGAATCAACACAGGGACCTGATCCTCTTGGGTTCCCCTGACAACACTACGAAGTCAACTGTCTACAGCTGGAAAGTGAACTGCCTGCACTGTACACGCAAACAATGCAGCACAGTGCATCAGTCACTTCTCATTGACCAACCAAGTGATTACATCATTCAAGTGATGTCATCCAAGTTGTATTAAAAAAGAGCATTGCAACAAAACATCACTTGACACTTGAGAATTCATTCAAGCACTCCAACCGTCTATCTATCAAGCATTCAATTCTCAAGTGCATCAAGAACAAAGTAAAACACTACTACAGACCAGTTCCTACAGCAAGTATCTCGTATGTCCCTAGTTGAGTTGTAACTTTGTAATTGTTCTTCATTGTAATTCCTACTTTGCTTATCTAGAAACTTTAATTAGGAACCCCTTGAAAACCATAAACCTTTAGGCAAGCCAACACTGATAAACTAGTGAATTCCCGTTTTAAATAAAATTAGTAAGTGGTGACTTTTTTCTGTTTGTTAAGAAAATCTAGAAGGTTGCAATTTTTAACATAAATAAGTGGAAGCAACGATTACAAATCGAAGTCATGAAAGCAAAACCAAAGTCATAAATCTACTAGTGTGTGTGCCAAGACCTGGTGTCACAACTATGTGCAATCTAGTAGAATATACAAAACAAATGCTAGCCTACCGTCTGAAAGGAAATAGGCAGAAAATAAAGCATAAGAGAGACTCCAACTGTTGCAGAACGGCTCAAAAGGGTAGCTCACCGGGAAGTCTCGAGCTGGGAATCAATCTACGCGCTGGTAGCTAGATGCATCTGCCTCAAATCCTGTACAATCAAGTACATAAGTGTAGCGTGGGTACTTAAAAATATGTACCCAGTAAGTATCAAGTCTAACCTTTAAGAAGTAATGACGAGGGGTCGACTCCGACACTTACTAGGGCCAACAATATAACAACGTGTGATTCTAAATAAGCATGATATACAGAACTAGCAATAAACTCGAAATAACTGAAAAGTTCTTCCATCATATTTAAGAACCCAAAACACTTCCTTCATTTGAAACAAATAATCTCTAAAATAATAAATTTATACCAATTAATAAAAAGGCTTCCGGTTCTATTATCACACACAAATTTCACTGAAGATGTTCGGCTCGATCCAACATAAATGTAAACTGTGCACTACCGAGGGTCGAACGACGTGAACCATAGATGCATCTATTAACCTGCCGAGGCGAACGACCCACTCCCATGAGAGTAGTGGAAATAATCACCCCGCTCGCAGAATATACTTGCGACGCGGTTAAATATAAATATAACGTAACTTTTCTCACTTCCTTTTTAAAATAAGAATTACTTGAAACCTTTGAAATCTTAAAATCCTCAACTTAGTTCCATTCAATGCAAATCAACAAATATGATCAGATAACAATGTCCACAAAGTATGGTGTAAGCCTAGAACTACCCGGACATAACAGGAATAGTAGCTACGTACGGACTCTCGTCACTTCGTGCGTATGTAGCCCGCCACAATTTAATTACGTATTAATTAAATTCAACTATGGGGAAATTTCCTTCTGACAAGGTTAGAAAAAAGACTTACCTCGTCTCAAAACCTACTTCCAAACTCAAGAATGCGCTCAAACCCCCAAACAGGAGCCGAACAATCCAAAACTATTCAAATAGTGTAAAAACCAATCAATATAGGTTCAAAAGTTCTTATTCTAACTATTAAAGTGATTACCCAACCCCAAAGGCAAGATTCCTAAAATTCACCCCCGGGCCCACATGCCCGAATTCCTGAAATTTTTGAAGGAAGTTGTTACCCATGACCTTAGGAACATAAATATGTGATTATCACTTAGTTTCGTGGTAAAAATCTCATTCTTGTCAAACCCTAGGTTTTTAATCTAACCCATGATTTCTACCAATTTTTATGTTGAAATCTACCCAAAATCTATGTATTGAACTCACAATAGGTAGAAATTACTTACCTCCAAAAGCTAGGTGGAAATCCCTCTAAAAAAGCTCCAATAATCGCCCAAAGAGTGAGAGAAAATGAGTGAAAATGTCTTAAGTCCCGTATTAATTGAACCTCACTGCCCCAGCGATTTTCGCACCTGCGGTGCATAGGCCGCACCTGCGGATCCGCTTCTGCGGACCAGGTGTCCGCTTATACGGAATTGGCTGGGCCGCACCTGCGGACGGATTCCCGCTTCTACATAGAGGGAACCGCATCTGTAGAACCTGGATGAACATCCTTGGATCGCACCTGCGAAAATAGGCTCGCAGGTGCGGTTACACTAGAACTGGTGCACCAACAGCCCTGTTGAGTTTCAAACTCAACTTGCGCATCGTCCAAATGGCACCTGGGGCCCCCGAGGCCCCGTCCAAACATACCAACAAGTTTGGAAATCATAAAACGGACTCGATCGAACTCACGGAACGCCCAAAACATTAAAACTAAGAATCACACCCTAAAACCAATTGTATCAAACTTAAGAACTTCAAGTTCTTGAATTTACTTCCAATGCGCCGAAACGTACTTATCCTACTCGGGATGGCATCAAATTTTGCGTGCAAGTCTTAAATGACATTACAGAACTATTCCCAGTCTTGAAATTCCGTTTGGACCTCGATATCACCAAAACCCGCTCTAAACCAAATTTAAAGAACTTCTAAAAACCTTCAAGAACCAACTTTCACTATTAGGCGCCAAAAAGCTCCCCGGTCATCCAAAATCCGATCCAAACATACGCCCAAGTCCGAAATTATCACACGAACGTGTTAGAACCTTCAAATCTCGATTCTGAGATCGTTTACTCAAAATGTTGGCCGAGATCAAACTTGGTCTTTTAAGCAAACCTTAAGGAACTAAGTATTCCGATTTCAACCCAAACTGTTCCAAATCCCAAACCAACTATCCCCGCAAGTCATAAATCAGTAAAAGCTAGTACGGGAAGTCTTATTTAGGGAAACAAGGTTCTAGAAAGCAAAATGACCGGTCGGGTCATTACATTCTCCACCTCTTAAACAAACGTTCGTCCTCGAATGGGTTTAGATTCATACCTGAAGTGCTGAATAAGTGTGGGTATTTGCTCCGCATGTCCT